AAGAGCCAACAGCTCCAAGCAATCGTCAAAGGAATCTCCAAACACAGAAAAATCATCCATAAAAACCTCAATGTACTTTTCTACCATGTCAAAAAAGATGGCCATCATGCATCGTTGAAAGGTTGCCGGTGCATTGCATAAACCAAAAGGCATTCTTCTAAACGCAAACGTTCCATAAGGGCATGTGAAGGTTGTCTTCTCTTGGTCTTCTGGAGCAATTACTATTTGATTGTACCCTGAATATTCGTCCAGAAAGCAATAATGACAATGTCCTACCAACCTTTCCAACATCTGATCAATGAATGGCACTGGAAAATGTTTTTTTCTGGTTGCATTATTTAGCTTTCTATAATCTATGCATACTCTCCACCCTGTCACTAACCGTGTTGGTATCAGCTCGTTGTTCTCGTTCTTTTCCACTGTGATTCCACCCTTTTTAGGTACAACATGTACATGACTCACCCACGAACTATCAGATATGGGATAATTATTCCTGCATCCAATAATTTCAGCACTTTTTCGCACTGCTTCTTTCAAGGTTGGATTCAATCGGCGTTGTCCTTTCACTGATGCCCTTGACCCGTCCTCCATTAGAATCTTGTGCATGCAAAGAATTGGACTGATCCCTCTTTTATCTGCTATTGTCCATCCAATTGCCATTTTGTGTTGCCTGAGTACCTCCAACAATTTATTCTCCTCTTCCCTTGTCATGTCATTTACAATGATTACTGGCAGTGTTGACGATTCTCCCAAATATACATAATGAAGATGGGAAGGTAAGGGCTTAAGTTCAAGCGTGGGTGCCTTTTCCACTGAGGGTATCGAGGGAGAAGGGTTGTCTCCTAGAGATTCATATTGCCAATGCCTTCTTCCTATGGGTTGCTTGGCTAAGTTGAAAACACATTCAGCTTTTCCTGCATTTGTTGCTTCCAATTGTGCAAATTCTGCCTCACAAAGATTTGTGTGATGCTCTATATCAAATGTATCCGCCACAAGCTCTTCAAGAACATCAACTTGGTAGCAAGTGTCGGAAGTCAATGGGTGTTTCATTACCTTGAACACGTTGAATATGACTTGCTCATTGTCCACTCGAAAAATCATTTTTCCATCATACACATCAATCAATGCTCTCCCAGTAGCCAAGAACGGTCTTCCCGAGATCAAAGGAATATTTGAGTCCTCTTCAATGTCCAAAATGATGAAATCAGCCGGAAAAATAAATTTGTCCACTTTAACAGCACATCTTCAATAATTCCCTTTGGTCGTTTGATCGATCTGTCGGCCAGTTGTAAAGAGATTGTTGTAGGTTTTGCTTCTCCTAATCCAAGAGACTTGTAAATAGAGAGAGGCATCAAATTAACACTGGCACCTAAATCACATAAAGAATGTTCAAAGAAATTAGAACCAATTGTGCAAGGTATAGTGAAACTCCCTGGGTCTTTTAGTTTAGGAGGTAGCTTTCTCAATACTATTGCACTGCACTCCTCGTTCAAGCATACCGTCTAATGTTCTTCCAGCTTCCTTTTGTTAGATAGGATCTCTTTCAAGAATTTTACATAGCTGGGCATTTGGGCAATTGCGTCTGCAAAAAGAATATTGATGTACAGTTTCTTGAAAATCTCCACAAACTTGGCAAACTGATTATCCAACTTCTTTCTTTGTAACCTTTGAGGGAATGGAATTGGTGGCACATAAGCCTTCACGGGGCTGGGTGCTCTCACTGCAGGTGTTTCCTTTCTTTCGTTTTACTTGTCAGTTGGTTGTTCAAACTTTACTTCTTTCCCAGCCTCTTCACCCATTATTTCCTTTTCTTTTCGCTCAAGTCTCTTCACATGTATTTCTGGAAGTTGCACCCCACTCCTGGTAGTAATAGCTTGCATTTGCTCTTTTGGATTGACCATTGTATTGCCTGGCAATGTCCCTTGTGGGCGTTCTGCAAGCTGTTGAGCTATCTGACCAATTTATGTTTCCAACTTCTTGATTGATGCTTGCTAATTCTGAAAATTAGTGTCAATCTGCTGAAACACCTTGTCAGTCTTCTGCATATACTGGTTGAACATCTCCCCCAAACTTGATTTTTTCTCTTGTTGGGCATTATTTGAATTGTTCCCTTGTTGATTATCCGACCATCTGAAGTTTAGGTGTTGTCTCCATCCTGGGTTGTATGTTTGAGCAAATGGATTAAAATTTCGAGACCCATTCTGAATGAAATTGACCTGCTCGTCGGGATAGCCTATAGATGCGCAGTTTTCTGTCAGATGATTAGCCCCACAGTTCTCGCATGATGGACCAGCTGTCATTGCATGTGCTCCTTTCGTTTGTGATTTCACCAATAACTCCACTTGTTTTGTCAATGCCACTATTTGGGCGTTGGTAGTTGCTGCGCTGTCTAACTCATACATTCCTCCTATCTTCGGTGGTGCCACTCTTTCCGATGAGAACATGGAATGTATAGTGGCAATCAACTCAAACAGTTCCATGGTTTGCTGCACAGATTTTCCTATAATTGATCTTCCAGCTGAGGCATTGACTTGAGATTTTGACAGTGGTGTAAGTCCAGTGCAGAAGTACTGCACTTGATTACCTATAGTAATTCCATGGTTTGCGCATTTTCTCATCAACTCATTAAACCTATTCCATGCTCCGTGATAGCTTTCTCCCTCTTTCTGTTGAAAAGTTTGAATTTCTAATATGATTTTAGCTACCCTCGCCAGTGGGAAAATTTTATTACAGAACTTCCTGATTAATTCTTCCCATGTAGTAATGCTAGCGTGAGGCTCAACATCTAACCACTCCAATGCAGCATCTCTCAATGTAAATGGGAATAGTCGTAGTTTAATAGCATCTTCATTTACCCCCGGAGCATGAAAGTTCTGACAGTTTCTGAGAAATCTAGAAATATGCGTGTTTGGATTCTCTTGAGGTAGCCCGTAGAATTGCAGAGTGTTGCTCATCAAGTTAATCCAATCTGGCCTGATCTGAAAGTTATTCACCCCAAAATCTGGATACACGATACTGGAGCGCATGGGTGCTGCTATAGGTATCACGAACATTGATACTGGCAAATCCCCTTCATTTATTTCCCTTCGTTCATGCTGTTGTTCTGGTGGTGCCACCACTCTTGCGGCCATTTGCCCAATCGGCTGAATAGGGATATGGATTTGTTGATTGTCAGCCATTTGATGTTGCTGTTTTTGTTTGTGTTCCTTGCGTCTTCGTCTGAAGGTACGTTCTATCTCCGAATCAAACGGTTCAAGATCGTCGCCTTGAGCACGGAGCATACAACGAACACAATTTTCTGTAATTAAAAGAAAAATAAACAAATCAAATAATAGCCAAAATAAAAAAAAATTAAGACTAAAAGAAATAGTCCCCGGCAACGGTGCCAAAAATTTGTTGTAAAATTTTGTTTCGCAAGTGTACGACCCGTAACAAGTAATAGTGGACCTTAGAGTCCGGTTATCGATCCCACAAGGACTATTTCCTAACACTTAATTTAATCTTTCTTTAACTACTATTTGACGAATATAAATCAAAGATTATAAAATCTGGGATTTAATCTAAATTCTAGAAAATAAATGAATGTTTACACGATTTGTTGGAGAATCAAATAATGAATGGATGTTAGGGTAGAATAACTTCACCAATTGATCACCTTTACATCTCAAATTAAAACTCAATTCTAATGTAGCGCTCGGTCGAATTCTCCTGTTGTATTCAATTTACCTCTCTCGAGTTCTCATTGAGCCTATTTAACTAATTAAATTTCATATCTCTATGCAAATTGAACTTAGTTAAACGAGTTCTATGTTTTAGGAATTCAATTATGACCGCAATAAATGGTATAGGTATCTCTACTCGTTATACCAATGTATTGGATTTTACTACATGGTCTAAATCCTAAACTCATATCTCTATTTGTAAAGAATTCACAAAAATCATCAAATTATTAATCGGGTAATTTAATGCATTCAACTCATAGCAAAATCAACACATGGAAGAATTAAAAACTGAAAGTCTTAATAAGAAAATGCAAAAGATCCCAATTGGTTACATTATTCCCCCTAACAATGAATTTAGCTACTCATAATACAAGAAGAAAAGAAGGAATTTGTCTTAGAATACATCACGAGTTCGAAATAAAGATGTAGAAGAAAAAGTGGAATTCTTGCACCAAGATCTCCTTCCTCTTCCAATGAATGCTTCCAATCTTCAATTCTTGGTGTTAATCTTCTTGAATTTCTCCTTTGAATCTCCCTTCTTGTTGGCTTCTCTCCAATATGTCAAGAACCCCTCAAAAATATGAGGAAGATGTATTTATAGGTGCCCCTCCGTTTTTATGTAGAAGTAGGATTTTTATGGATTTAAAAAGGGCCCAAAAAACGCGCCCTAAATCGCCAATCGAGCGCCTAGGCGCTACAAGACAGTGCCTAAACGCTGGCTATAGTGCCTGGGCGCTGTGTCTTCAGCGCCTAGGCGTTGCTGGTAGCGCCTTTCGGGTCCAAATTTCATCTTTTTTTCGTTTCGTAGCGCCTAGGCGCTATGAGTGCAGCGCCTAAGCACCGTCTTTCTACCCCCAATTCCGTGTTTTTGGCCTCTTCGTCCACTTTAATACTTCTTTTCACATCGCTTCTCCTTATCTTCAAAACAACACTAACAAACACATAAAAACGTTCTATACTCATAAAATCTAGCATTTAATCAAGCTAAAATTGTGCGAAAATCATGAGTGAAACAAACTCATCAGCCGTCATAAATAATTTTCGTCTAGAGTATTAACTTAGGCTGTATGACCCTGGTATAAACTGTTGGAAAAAATGGGTTAAATGGCTAACTTTGGCATAAAATTTGAGTGGGACTTGATTGGTTATTTTGGAAGTTCAAAATTGATTTGTGTTGTTTTTCGTGAGAACATTAAAATCATATATTTACTTGCCAAAAAGGATGTTTAGGTGAATGAGAAATTAGAGCTCAAAGTGCGTCAATTGAAAGGAGTTTATATGTTGGAGAAAAACCTTTTAAGGTTTGTCCGACATAGGAAAGTTATGAAAGCAAATACCACCTTAAATAGGATTGTACTTTCAAAAGGTGAAATCATGTGCAGCATAGAAACTCTCTACGTACGCCCGCGTGTGTGTGGGGAGAATAGAATCGAAATAAGCTTTGATAGAAAGTAATACTAGAAAACGAGGCAATAGAAACAAAATTTTATAGACTAACGACTTTCGTTGCTATTATAATTAGCAACGGATTATTATTATTAAAAATTAAATACTAAATCGACGACATAATTACCAACGAAAAACTTTCATTGGTACAATTTTGTTACTAATCCGTTGGTAAAAATTTAAAAATAAAAAAATAATAGATTAAATAATTTAGTGACAGAATTTCTCAACGAATGATTTTGTTGGAAAAAAATATTAAAAATTGTAAAATAAATTACCAACGAAAAAACATGTTGGTAAATATTGGAAGTAAAATTTTATAAGTATTAGATAGTTAGCAACGAAAAAATTTCGTCGAAAAATTCAAAAAATTTCAACTCCCAAAATTTAACTTGCCTCTAAAATTTTCATTTCCTCCATCCAATTCTCCCTACATTGCAGCCCCCTCCCCCTCCATCAAAAGTTTAAATTTGAAAATGTGTTTAATCAAAATACCACTTCTTTAAATGGAAGGTCCATGTAGCTATCGGTGTGTTTCACCAAAATAATCCTTGCATAGAGTAAACTGCAGGGGCAAATAATAAAGTGGTTTCAATCTCATAGTAATCCTCTTGTTGCAATCCTCTCTGATTTCCTTCTTGGTTGGACTCATTATCTGGCCCAAAAAATTGGAATTCCTAGAATCGCATATTACTCTTCTGGAGCATTTCTTACTACTTGTTTTGACAACCTCTGGAGAAATCCTGAGGCTGTAAATCCAGGGAGTGAAATTAAATTCGATGATTTACCGAATGCTTCGAGCTTTCCGTGGGACCAAGTTCCTTCATTGTTTTGGCGGTATAAGGAAGCGGAATCAAATCCTAATTTGGAGTTGCTGAAAAACAGCATGGATGCAAATGGTTTGAGTTGGGGGTATATTTTCAACACTTTCTATGAATTGGAGAATGCGTACTTGGAGTTTCTAAGTAAACAAATTGGGTATCAGCGAATTTACAATATTAGGCAACTGAATTTACTTCATGGACCTGAACAGATGAATGTGAAATCTGATTCCACTAGTGGTGAGGTTTTCTCATGGCTTGATGAGTGTCCTAATGAGTCAAAAAGTGCTCAAGAAAGCGCTAATGGAGGCTTAAGCAAATGGGCTCGAACGGAGTGAAGTCCGGTTCATATTGGATTTTAACTTTTTTTTTTAAAACTTTAATATATGAATTTTTCAAGAAAATAATTATTAAAATAATAATCATAATTTTTTTTAAAGATTTTAATTCAAATTAGCAATGGAAAATAGCGACAAAAATTCATTGTTAGTCATCATCGGACTTAATTTGTAGATAATTTGAGACGGAAAAATTTGTCGCAAATATCGTCGCTACTTAGTGATGGAAATAGCTGTTGGTAAACACCAACAGGTTCTTCCATCGCTAAATTACCAATGATCTAAGTAATTCGTCACTAAATTAGCAATGAGGGTATTACAATCGAATTTTCCGACTAATTAATTTTGTTGGTAAAAATCTTTAGTGACGAAATTTAAGGCATCAACAACGAAAATTTTCATCTCTTAAACCGCATTATTTTGCAGTGAGATTCTATTGTTCCTCCATTATATCATGTGAGACAGATGTCGAATTAAACCTTGAGCACCTACGGTGAGGGGGCAAATTTGTTTTAAGGATATTGTGTTCACACATACCTCGGTTTAAAATTATTTTTTTTCGATTATCTGCTTTTGGCTAATTAGTTTCATTCATTCTGTTTTATTGAAATTTAATTTTCTCTATTTTGGCTAACTAGATTAATTTGTTCAATTTATTGTAATTTAATCTACTATATTTTGGGTAGTATCTAAGTTCACTATATATACGGTATATGCAAAATTGATAAAGGCATTATCTGTCTATGATTTTTCAATGGATTTTCTGCCATTTTCTTACCATTGAGTCCAACTGCGGGTTCCACCAAAGAAAGAGCCAGTCAAAAATTACGGCCACAACGATAGGAAAATCCATTCTTTTCAACCAATAATTTGCACTAGACAGGGCCATATTCAAACTGATCCAAGTTTAGCAACCTATAAGATTTGCTATTATTAACATATCAAACAAAAGCACATTTAATACTTCTTGGACCCAATTTGGTCGTATTAGGATTTGTGTTCTTGTAATAAGCAAGACACCCCCACACTTTAAAGTATCTAATGTTCGATTTCTTCCTTTCCACAATTCATAAGGAGAAACCTTTGTATGTTTAGAAAGAATCATATTAAGTATCCTACATGCACTTAATAAAGTTTCAGCCCATAAATTAAATGGCAATTTAACATATATAAACATGACATTAATCATTTCTACTAAAGTTCTATTCTTCTTTCAGCCAAACCATTTTATTTGGGTGTTCTAAGTACATAACATTGGTGAATTATGTCATGTTGTTCACAATATAAGTTAAATTCACTAGAAAAATATTCACTACCTCTATCACTTCTTAGGGTCTTTGTTTTCCTTCTTAGATGATTTTCAACTTCATTTTTATACATCTTAAATATGTTAAAAGCTTTATATTTATATTTCATCAAGTACACATATGTATATCTAGAAAAATCATCAATAAAAGTAATGAAGTATCTATTTCCACCTCTAGTTATGTCATTTAATTCACATGTATCTATATGAATTAATTCCAAGATATTAGAGGTCCTTTTCACACTTTGATATGACTTTTTAGTCATTTTTTATTCTACACATGTTTTGGATTTGCACTTAATAAAGTTTCAGCCCATAAATTAAATGGCAATTTAACATATATAAACATGACATTAATCATTTCTACTAAAGTTCTATTCTTCTTTCAGCCAAACCATTTTATTTGGGTGTTCTAAGTACATAACATTGGTGAATTATGTCATGTTGTTCACAATATAAGTTAAATTCACTAGAAAAATATTCACTACCTCTATCACTTCTTAGGGTCTTTGTTTTCCTTCTTAGATGATTTTCAACTTCATTTTTATACATCTTAAATATGTTAAAAGCTTTATATTTATATTTCATCAAGTACACATATGTATATCTAGAAAAATCATCAATAAAAGTAATGAAGTATCTATTTCCACCTCTAGTTATGTCATTTAATTCACATGTATCTATATGAATTAATTCCAAGATATTAGAGGTCCTTTTCACACTTTGATATGACTTTTTAGTCATTTTTTATTCTACACATGTTTTGCATTTATGTTCATTATTTTCATCATATGAAATCAAATCACATTTTTTCATACGTTTCATAGTACTTTTACCAATATGTCCTAATCTAGTATGTTATAATGAAAATAAATCAACAATATGAGCAAAATTAGTTTTATTCTTTTCCTTGTCAATGGTACAAAGTTTGACCATTCCTTCATTAGAATAGCATTTTTCAACAAATTTTCCATTTAGGGAGAGTACAAGTTTACCGGATTTATACACACATTTGATACCCGATTTTCCTAAGAGATTATCACTTACTAAGTTCCTATTCTTATCCGAAATATGTAGTACATTGGTAAGGGTAACGGCTTTCCCGGAATTGAAGATGATATCAACATTTCCCTTTCCAATAACCTTGGATCGAACTTCGTTGTGCATTTGAATCTCTTGGTCTCCATCCACCTTATGATATGTTTTGAATACAGTTTTATCATATGATACATGTATAGTAGCACAAGTATCATACCACCACCTGGGAATCTTTCCCTTGATTGCATTTATTTCGCTTACGGTGGCCACGATCTTATCCTCTTGGATGGAGTTCACTTTGGTCTCGAAGTTATTTTGTTTTCAGTGTCTACAATCTTTTGCATAATGTCCAAATTTTCCACACACAAACACCCTCCTGTGGTCTTCTTCTTGGACTTGTTAAAGTTCCTCGAAAGCTTCCTCTTGTTGGATTTTGCCGGTGGTTCAGATTTTTCAACAACATTGGCTTTGGAAGTTTCCTCAAAGGAATTTTCACTCTTTTCACGCAATCTGGATTCTTCCTCGATCCGAAGATGCTTTTGCAATTGTTCCAAGGAATAATCTTTGAAACTATGCATGATCTTCTTCTGATATCCTTTCCAAGGCCCTGAGAGTTTAGTAATTATGGCTCTCACTTGAAAGATCTTTGGGATTTCAATCTTTACCGCCTTTAGTTTGTTGACAATGATTTGCAATTCGTGTACTTGGGGAAGAATAGGGATATTATCAAGGAATTTAAAGTCTAAGCATTTAGAAATCAAAAACTTCTTAGTACCTTCCTCTTCCGCTTTGTACTTACTCTCCAATGCTTCCCAGATTTCCTTTGCAGAAGTTGTGTTTATGTATAAGTCATATAAACGGTTCGACAATGCATTTAGTATGTGCTCGCGACATATCAATTCATCTTCTTGTCGTTTCTGTCTTTCAGCATTGACTACCTCAGTCTATCCATTTGTAGGTTTCGGTAGTTGCGCCAATTCTGGGTCCAAAATATAGAAGATCTTCTGTAAGTAGAAATTCAACTTGTCTTGCCACCACGTGAAGTTTGTACTATCGAGCCGATCCAACCGCACCAAGTCTTGATTCATAAGTTTGATGGTTGCCATTGTAGTCTCGTTCTCAATTGCAAGGAAAGTAACGTTGGAGATTGTTGGAAATAATTGAGAGATGGAGAAAAAGAGAATCACAAGAGAATATGGCAACAAGACGGATCAAAACAAAATTTATATTAACAAATGTGAAGGCTTGAACGCGGGATCGCTATCCTCAAACGTTATTTGCCCTTCTCCGGTGTTTTCGATATGCTTAATTCCGGCAAATGGTTTGAAGGATTATAACAAATATTGTAAAGAATTTTACTAAAGCACAAGATGAAATTCTCCAAAACTTGAAGAACACAAAGATATGAATGTAAATCTGGATTTGATCATTCTTAGAACAAAGTGTGGATTGCAAGATGTTTTTTCTAACATCTTTTCCTCAAACATGGCTTTCCTATATATAGCCATCAACCAAAAGTACGAAATGGTGCCAAAAAATCAAGTGAAAAATCATAAAGTTCAAATTTACAACGGCCAAAAAAGGGTCAAATTTTGTCATGCGGTCGCATGGTTCACCCATGCCAAGACCATTTGGTCTCGGCATAAGGCCATGCGACCGCATGGCTATATGCCATGTATAGCCATGCAGCTGCATGGACCAATTTTATTTATTTATTTATTGTTATTGGTTTTGAACAACATAATCACAGCACATTTGACTCGTGAAATATAAAAAATAACAATAGGTAAGTGCCCGGAAAATATAAAACTATATCAACTCAAAGAAGTAATTGACTATAACCAATTTTAATTCCAAGGAACATGCGAATAATCTGTATAAATAACAAAAATAAAAGAAAAGAGACATGTAAAAGTACTAATAACTCTTGCAATTTGTCTTTGCGCAAGATCAACGAAAAATAGAAAGAAAGAAAAAAACAACACTATCCATGTTCTCGATTTCTCTCTTATTCCATCTCATTATATTCTCCTTATTTTCAATTTTCTTTCTCTCTTTCTCTGGCTCTGCATCAAGTAACATCAAATAATCTGGAATAATATCTAATTAACTCGACATAAACTGAAAAAGCCACGTGCAAGATCAAACAAGTATAAAGCACAAAATAATATTACAAATGTATAACAACTCATCCCAACCTAGCAATATTATATTCATGCACCCTTATTACAGTCATCAAAAGCAACTTAAATTTGAATGTATTCATAACTTTAGATCTGTTTTTAAATATGGTTTTGTATGCGCGTATTGTTGGTTGGGGGTGGTGGCAGCGTCGGATTGACTGTTTTGGTGGCCATATATCGTTTTGATTGGTTTGGCATCCAATTTTAACAACCAGTGATGCGGTAGTGATCGGGGTACCAGCATATTGTGATAGTTGTGATGGCAGAAACAGTATAAAAGCATATATTAAAAGTGGTGATGAGGACTAGTAGGAAGTGTTACAGCCATGATGGGGGAAACGGGCTATGTTACATAATATTATACTTGTAATATAGTTGTTACACGTGAAACACAGTGTGTTATAAAGTGTAGTATAAAATAAGTAATAAAATATTATTATTAAGAAAAGAAAGGTAAGCTTAAGCAATATTTC